AAAAACGTAATCATATGTAATTTACCACATCACAAACCGACCTACTACCCAATTTTGCGGCCAAAATTTCAGCTGCCGCGGTGCCCTGTGTTCTTAAGACAACCAGGGCACCAATAGTATTACTGCCGGAAAATTACCTCAAAACTTTTCCTTTACACCTAAAAAACTAGCGTGCATACGCGCGGATGCACGAAAACGCTAAACGGGAGTCAGGGCGTGCATAGGTGATGCACAAGGTCGTCAACTGTTAAAGAAGCTTTGAGTAACCAACCTAGATTATGACCAAAGGAATTCGTAAGTTTTCTCTGATTATACCAATTGTTGAATCCACAATCAACAATGCGAGCACATCGAAAGCGATTTTAGCAATTCCATCGGTTCATGGTGCAAATCAATCTGCTTAGTAAGTAGCTGTTGCAATGATGTCATCAGGAGCTTCTTAATTGATAGCTCTTTTAGGTCGCTCGCATTTCGACATTGCTTTGACTTACTTATGATAATTCGTCATTGCTTTGAACGTATTATGGTTCCAAATTCGAACTATTTTCGCCAAAATAAGAACACGTGTCATTCATAATCCTTAATCCTCTTATGGTTTTTGAGCACCTGATAAGAATGTCTATGAAACGAACACTCACTGCAACTCATTGCGATGACATGCCAGTTACATCAAAAGTTGTATCGGAAAAAAGCTGCATCTAACAAGGAGAGGATACTTAGTCGAAAGCAACAATCCAGATGAGACATACATCATCTTAAAGCGCTTAAAACGCTGATTCCAAATCTGTAGTTCCTAGCAGCGGAGCGGTTTTGTGGAAGGAGTTGTGAGGGGTGTTTCCCACTGAAGTGGGGCACCCTCCAGCAGGTCTCCCCCTATCTATGAGCACTGTAGAGGAGTACCAACTGGTGGCAACTGACCTAGTGGTAAGTGAAGTGCTTGGTAAAGAGGTGTGAAGGTTTTACCCCTTCGCTAAATTCAACTTCTAAATGGCTTTAGATCCCTAAAGCATGAAATTTTGATAGTAGCTTCCAGGTTTCCTCTTTCGTAAACCTCGGCATTGTTAGTATATGTGTGAGTACGTTAGTAAGCCGACCGAGGTTAGTAGATGTTTATTGTTAGTGGCGGCCTGACGTTTCGACGTGTCCGTCTTCTTCAGAGGCCTCCTCCGCCGCTGCCGCCCAGATGTTAGATGCGGCCGTCCTTCGTGCCACTAGTAGTAATAATTATATTATATATTAATAATATATATATAATTATAATATATAATATAATTAATTATAATAAATAATTAATTATAATATAATATAATTAATTATAAATATAATTATAATATAATATAATTAATTATAAATATAATTATAATATATATAATTATATTATATTATTACTACTAGTGGCACGAAGGACGGCCGCATCTAACATCTGGGCGGCAGCGGCGGAGGAGGCCTCTGAAGAAGACGGACACGTCGAAACGTCAGGCCGCCACTAACAATAAACATCTACTAACCTCGGTCGGCTTACTAACATACTCACACTTTTGATAGTATTGATACTAATCGAAGTTAAAAGTGTTGAGTAAAGAACCAAAGTAATATGAGTATTATAATCTTTACCGTAATCTTCATTCAAGTTGTTAATTGTCAAGAAAATAATGTCGTTTTTTATTTGCTTGCTTTAACAAAGCAACCAGACTCAATCCAGCACAAGACAAGGGGTACTATTCGATAGAGCAATGCAAGCTCTACAGATGGCACTCATGATTTTGCGCCAAGCTCGATCCACGGAGAGTTCGAACTCAAGATATTTTCAAATGCTCAAAAAATCCAAAAAATCAAATAATTTCTACGGAACTCACACTCGCTTACGTCAATGCTTTCGATATCTGATATCCATATGTGCGATTGCTGTATTTTTTCTTTGACTGGAAACTGAGAAGACGAAAACTTCCCTGATTTTCTCAAAGCAATGCTGAGCCGTTTTTTCTTATGTAGTTCTATACTATAATACAATCCTACATAAGCATAATTGTAGTTTTCAGCCTATTTCGAGCGGTACTTTTCGAGAAAGTTCGGTTTTAGCACTGAAACTGAAAAGAAAAAACCTGATTCGATATTTTTCGAAAACTACCGCTTGGAATGGGCTGAAAATCTACTGTTATACTTAGCGAGGCTGGTAGTATAGAACTACATATGCAAAAACGGTTCAGCATTGCTTTAAGAAAAACAGGAGAATTTTCGTTTCCTCAGTTTCTAGTCAAGGAAAAAATACAGCAATTGCAGATATGGATATCAGATATCGAAAGTATTGACGTGAGCGAGTGGGAGGTCCGTAGAAATTATATGCATGAAGATCTGAATTTTTTTCCAATTTTTTAGGCATTTGGAAATTTTTAGATTTCAAGTTTGAACTCTCCGTGGATCGAGCATGGCGCAAAGACATGAGTGCCATCTTGTAGAGCCTGCTTTGCTCTATCGAACAGTACCCCTTACCCTTTGTTGGGTTGAGTCTGTTCGCTTTTGTTGAAGCAAGCAAATAAAAACCGACATTATTTTCTTGACAACCTAATACTTACCATTAGGTCAGTTGCCATCAGCTGATACTCCTCTGCAGTGCTTACAGATAAGGGGAGACCGCTGGAGGGCGCTTAAACCCCAGAGGGGAACACCCTTCATAACTCCTTCTACAAAACAGCTCCGCAGCTATAAACTGCAGATTTGGAATCAACGTTTCAAGCGCTTTAAGATGATATGTGTTTCATCTAGATTGGTGCTTTTGCTTTGCTTTCGATTGCTTTCGACTAAGTATCCTCTCCTTGTAAGGTACATTTGCAAATGCCTGAGGAAGTCCACCCATATCAGCCTCGGCAGTGGATCTGGGCCTATAGTAATCTCCTCCAATGATGGTGTGGGCGTTCGAGACAAAGCAAGTACCTAATTCGGTCGCCTCGGCTGCGGTTCATTCGGCGGCTTTCACGTATCACGACCGCCAGATGAAATGATGACGGCGTCGTATACGACGAACCCGGAATGTACCTAGTCGCATGCTGGGTAGGCAAAGGAAATTGTGCAGCCAGCTGGGAGAGCAGAAGACGCCCGCGGCTAGAGGTCGAGCACGTCAAGTTCGTCGCATGCACATTGACCATAGGCACAACACAAATCACTGAATATAACGCACGCAATATGCACTCAATTCTAGCAGTTGATAAGCGCCCAAACGTCGAAAAAATGGGCGGCTAATTCTATTTTCAGGGTATTTCTGCAAGGGTAATGTTTGCATTTGGGAAGAGGAGAGTTTCCTTAGTCAAAAAATTTCTTGAAACTCTACTTAGCAAAATAATTGCATCTTGAAAGTCTGCTTAGTCGTAATCTATAGGAGCCATCTTTTCTTTTTATTCTCAAGTTGCCTTCCGTTTGCGCGCTGAATCTTTGCATGAAAAGTCTCCAGTTTCTTCCATCTCAACACTATCGCTAATTTACTTTACACCGGACGTACACCTATCATTTCCTTTTTGTTTTGAGATATGAGACAGTTCGATGTTATGGCCCGTGTACCCAGACGAAAGTGATGATTGTTTCGGAATATTTTGAGTTTTTCATGTTCAACAGGAATGTTTTATGTCCATTTTCAATTACTTCCGCTACGTAATAATTCAACTAGCAATTAGCAAAAAACTACTTCGAGCGGGACTTGTACCCTTTACACTTACCAAATTGCAAGTGCCAGTGGCTCCATTATTCAAAGCTTAATAGACCACCAAGAAAACGCACCCTTCTTATGAACATGACGGAGACAATGCACACCTTGGCTGGCAAATACAGGCTAACATAAAGCCCGCTTATCAATTGACCAAACCATTTGCAAACCATTTTATCTCTGCCCATCTTTGCTCCGCTTGACCCACCATCAAGAGGGTAACTCTAAATGCAACGTTGTGCGAGCTGCTCATCGCCACTTACCAAGGGTTTCGATGACGCGTTTAGCAGCGACCAGGACATGTTGTGAGCAGCAATTACAGTCTGCTCCAAACGGGATCAGGCCGAAGCGTCGGCGTAAATTTGCGCGCTTGCAGCGCTGGCGGTCTGCATTGCGTATGCGCGCTGTCGGAGAGATTAAAAGGTTTGAAGAGAGAGAGAGAGCAGAGAAGCAGACCGTGTGACCGCGAAACCCTAGCGACACAGACTCCCGCCATGCCAATTTTGTCTTGGTTGGGATTGGGGCAACTGTACTTCATTCGCACATGTCATGACCATGCTTTCTTTACATCGCAGCATATTTCGGGAATCTAGTGTGTGCCTTAGAGACAGTCCTGAGGAGAGCAGTGAAGGTCCCTAAAAAGTTCTAGATACAATTGCAAGATGTGCAGAACTTATCTGGGTGAGGGGAGAATTTCTCAAAATTTCTGTGACCCACTGATGGGAAGTACTTGGTTTGCGGTACAGTAACCGTATGGCACCAAATATGGTTTGTGGCCAGACACATTTTGTACGAACCCAATAGGAAGAACTATGAAAATGATGTGGTCGAAGGGTGTAGCATGCATCTTCCGGAAATCACTCGCTACTGAAAGTAGAAATTGACGCGTTTGCAACGCACGATGTGGCTCCATACTTGATTAAATGAGGATAAAAAATTACGAAGTTATATGAAAGTGGGTAAGTAGAAACCGTGCTTTACTTTTTTCAACTGCCATCATAACTTGACCCGAGTTTTTGAAAAATTTTTATTTCACTTTTCATATTGATTCTTGCATTATCTTCTACATTTATTGCTCACTATACAATAGGAGTTTGGTTTAACTTCTCCTCTATTTTTCGACAAGACCTGTATAGCATCAAGAAAGACGGAAAGCGACTGGCTGTACTCAGTTCTATCAAAAATATCTGAAGTTGTTTTTCAGGGGTATTTTGAACTCAAAACTCTCGATAGGATTACCGTTCGTTGACGCTTCGACGTTCATCAGGTGGTTTTGGACGAGTGCATGAGGCGCTGCTGCGATAGGATGTTTTGTGAACAGATGTGTAAACACGGGTACGAAGAATCTTCATAAATTCAAATATTAAATTAAAAAGCGTATTTAGATGCTATGCTTTTCGACAAAGATTGACAGAAGTGAGACAGGTACGTATTGAGGTCAATATGGGAGGTGCTCTGAAGGTAGCGAATGGGAAAGAGCGAGGACCTGAATTTCTACGCTACAAGCTAGAAGCTCATTCCCCCCCCCCCCGCCTCCTCGAATAATACCTAACCGCAGAGCCCTGTTAATATTCATAAAACGAAAAGCCTCCTATGAAGAGCTTCTATATCCATCTCCAATCCCCCCATTCCATTCTACCAATGACTCACGAGCCATTGTGCACTTTGTCCTCCTCAAAATCAGCAAGCACCATCGCATTTTTTGCACTACTTTGGTACTGTAGCTCACGACCAATTTCTTTTGGACCGTTTTAAACGCTATAAAGTCTTTATTTAGAGATGTTAGGGAATGGTACCGCACAATTCGGAGTTTTGCTCGCTATGGTCATCCATCCACTTGCTATTGCTGTTTGCTTCGCAGGTCACTACTCTTAAATTTACAGTCCATAAAGTATTTTTTGTACAAGGCGTAAACCAAATTATACAATTCTAGCCGTAACCAGCCTTCTGCTTGCATCACTGACGAATGCAGATGACCAAGTATCACATATTTATCGCCGTCAGTTACAATTTTAAACAGATTAAAAAATTGCATAATTCATGGAATTGTAACATGACTATGTTTTGGTTCCAACCAAAAGGTCATGCTTTGTTAGCTATGAATCACGCCTTCCATCTACTTAACTTTTACAAAAATATTTGTTACTATTTGTATAGATGCACTTAGTTTCTCGAGATGGAAACGCTTTGCGCTGAAGCCTCAACTTTCACTAAAAACTCCCTTTCTCTCCGTAATTAGCCGTAGCTCCGCCCTCTGTTTCACGCGAACTCCTTAACCTTATTATCCTTGATCTCTGACCTCCAACTGCCTCTAACTGAATGTGCTTTACGCATATGAATTATCAGTCACTCTGCACGCATCTCATTTGAACTGTTCATTTGAATAATAACTCAGTTTTGACATATTACCGCACTTATTCGCTTATTGTATGATTTTTATAGCTAATAAAAATTAGTTACCCGTTTGGTTGGCTATTGGTCTTGATGCACGTCGCTACCTATACAACGGCGAGTGATCACAAGAATAGAATTCACTTCAGTTCTTATATTCATTCGCTTATAATAAGACAACAAAATATGTCGCAAATGAGAATAGATAGATCGTTATATAATATTGCAAAAAAAAAACACGTAACCAAAAACAATATAACTCTCATGAAAGACGACTATTGCATGCAGTTCAACCGGAAGCACCGGAACGTTTTGAGCCATTCCACACAAATTGCACACAGAACTTTGGAATGATAATTTGTGAAGATAGCACGGTTACAAAAGAGAAATCAAACGAATCGTTGAATACAATAAAAACACTGAAATCTCAGTAGAACGCAGTTCTGCGAAAAAGTTTCCGTGTATCTATCTATATTGAGGGAACCCGTGTAGACAGCAAAGCGATTGAACATCCAGTGATGTACTTCACTTTGCATATGGCGGTGTTAGCATGGAAATTGATTAGAATTTGGAGAAAGGCAGGAAGAAGTGGCTCAACTCGTGGACATAGTTGATAAATGACGGAATGCCTTGTTGTTCGACATTTCGGCCTAAATTCCAATGTTGAATGGAAATTCGGGGTTGCAACATATTGCGTATCATACCTGGTGCTAAGCCAAAGAGCTCATAAGTGTATGTGAGGAAGTCGTAGACGATCTAAATAAGAAATTTCAGAACATTTTGGCGCGCTAGCCGGTATACGGTATAAAAAGGAGGTTAAAGGACCTAGACGACCTATGCACAGATACTGATTGGAAACCTCCACTAAGCCTTGTAATCGGCATGCAGAAACACACCCCTCTGCCAATTTTTAGCCACCTAGCTCAAAGTTGAAAAATACCCACTCCGCCCCGGGACCCATAGTGCGAGCAAATCTCTCGCCGACATAGTGGCTGCTGGCCTCTCCTCTCGTCATCAGTGAGCGCCGTTATATTTTCGCATTCCTTTTTCTGGAATCCTTCAGCAACTGGACCCTCCGTCACCCATGTTGTTAAGGATAGGAGGGACGCAGAAAACTCTGCCGTCGCGCTTGAAAGGATCGAATGCATATTATAGTAAGGATTGGTTGACCGTACGGACTACTCAAAGCCTGCGGACCACGCACGGCACAGCTGAATTGTCGCGAGAGCACGACTTCTACAATGGCTAATTTGTACTCGGGAAGCGTTTTACTCGGCGCGTGCTCCGCAGTGATGTCCAGTCCGTGCGGTCACGAATCAACTGTATGCCTCTTTCCAGAAAACCGAACTAAGTTAGGTGCCTTCTTTTGTAATTTGACTCCAACCTGCGTTTCTTATAGTCGGCCGGAGATTTATTTAACGCTTACCTTTTGCACAGTATGACTTTCCACTTGAGAGAAGCACGATGATAAAACTCCATCGACCACTAAAGCTCCGTCAACAGTCATAGGTGAGTAGATTCCGGTAGAAATTTGTCGTCCAATCTGAAATTCACTAGTTTCTTTGACTTTTGAAGAAGTTTTTGCAAACAAACCTTAACAATTTTTTCAACTGCTACTTCGCCATTCCTATCCACAGTCATCACACAGTCTCCAACAGTTGCGCTGTCTGCATAGCGAGATGCTCGTAATGAGCGGTCCACTCCATCGGTTTTTTGGAGGGTCCTAAGATGGAGCAAAGGTGGAATATATATTAAAATACATGAATGATTAGCAAAAAAAACATTTTAGTACCTTCTCATTGCACTGCATTCTCCGAAGGGCAGCAAATGTAGAGGAGTCATCGCTAGTCTCTTCTTCGACTCTGTGAACAGAACAACGAATTGAGCTCTTGTCTCAGGTTCTCTGTGATAGAACATCTCCACTCGTTCATACTTCAACACTCCTCCCGCGCTGGGCACCAAGACCTAAAACTGTCTCACTTTTCTCGTGAGAAGAAGAAAAATCCTTTGAGCTTACGTAATCCCCAACAGCCAACTGATCCATTCGTTTTTGTCCGGTTACTGTAGTCACCAAGGCATCGGCAGGGAAGCAGTTCATCCTCTTCAAACGATCTATTGCGTTCTGTGTGGCTCTCGGATCAGCTGCTTGTTCAGCAACAGCTAAAGTGGACAGTTTAGTTGTCTCCTCCTTCACCTTACCCAGGTTCATAACATGAACATCAAATAAACTCACTTCTTCGTTTAGCAGCTGCAGGTGCAGCAGATACTCTTGGCCTGTTTTTAACGCCCTTGGCTCTTTTTTTACCTCCCTTTTTGACAGTACCTCCCTGCTCTGGTGTGGCCTCACCCCCACCACTTTCGAAGGAATCTCCGTCAGTTACTTCAACCTCGACCTGAGATTCTCTTGTCGACGTGCCGGTCTCACTTGAAGCAGCTCCTGCTTCTTGTGTGCCGGTTGCGCTACCACCTGCTCCCTCTCCTGTTCCAGCTTCACGGGTCTTTTCTTCTCCACTGCCAGGTTTCGCTTCAGCACTCTTTACCGCTCCTTCGCCTTGTCCTGCGCCAGTTCCTGAACTTGCACCTTCTCCGGACTTTCCTGCTTCGACTCCTGATTCGACTTTTCCTTCTCCGGACTTTCCTGCTTCGACTCCTGATTCGGCTTTTCCTTCTGCGGACTTTCCTGCTTCGACTCCTGCTTCGACTTTTCCTTCTCCGGACTTTCCTGCTTCGACTCCTGCTTCGACTTTTCCTTCTGCGCCACCTCCTGTACTTTTAGCAGTGCTGGACTCTCCCGGTGTTACAGAGCCTGTAGTGCTGGTAGCGCCTGTGGTACTGAGGTCAGCCGTAACAGTTCCACCAGCGACTTCGGCAGTTCTGGATGACCTGCAATTTTGCGCTCATGTAAATCAGGCAAAAAAAAATTTTTGTGCCTAGGTACAAACTTGTCAATCGTTCTCTTCGTCGTTGTCTCTGTGCTTCCTCCAGTAACGCCGCCTTCGGGTGCTCTGCTTTGACTTCTGCCGTGCTGAGATCTAAACAAAGACAGTTCTGATTGCGTATGAATCACTGATTTGCAAGTTTGTAGACAAAGGTGCTACACACCCGCTGTGCCCATCTTTTCCATCTTTTCCATCTTTGCCTTTGTGCTTGCCATCTCCTTTTTCTTTCTCTTTTCCTTTCTCTTTTCCTTTCTCTCCATCACCTCCTGCAGCTCCTGCTTTGCCATCCTTACCTAAACGCAGCCGATATAACCAATAGAAAATCCAAAACGAATCAAATTTTTCTCACCATCTTTGGGTGCTCTATCGGAACCGGCTCGGACAGCATCAATGCCATCGGCGCCATCAGTGCCAGCAGCACCATCATCTCCATCCTTCGATTTCTTGTCTCCCTTTCCTTTTCTTTTTCCTTTTCCTTTGCCCGCAGCGTCACTATCTCCAGCTGCGGCTCCATCTTCTCCATCAGCACCATCTCGTCCACCTTTGCCTCCTTCGCCTTCTTCGCTTCCTTTGCCTTTTCCCGTTCTCGCTCCGGATTTTCCATCGCTTCCATCTCCACCAACTCCTCCATCGCCTTTGCCTCCTGCCTTTCCAGCTTTTCCACCGGTTCCATCCTCGCCTCCAGCGCCAGCTTCTTTTCCATCACTTCCTTCTTTATCTGGCTTCCCTTCTTTACCTCCTTTTCCTCCTTTTCCTCCTTTGCCTCCTTTTCCTCCTTTACCTCTTTTTCCTGCCTTGCCTCCTTTTCCATCTCCTTCTTCACCTTCGAGTTCAGTTGCTTTTCCAGCACCTTTTCCGCCTTTCCCGCCGTCTCCGCTTTTGGCTCCTTTTCCACCTCCGGATTCAACTTTATCTCCTGCTCCTCTTGCTCCATCTTTTCCATCTTTTCCGTCTCCTCCATCACCGCCTTGCCCTCCTCGTCCATGTGCTCCATCTCCTTTACCGCTTCCTTTCTTGCCCTTTTCTTTATCGCTGCCTTTTTTACCGTCCTTGCCATCAGCGGTGCCAGCAGCTCCATCTGCACCGCTTTCTCCATCTTTTCCTGTGCTCGCTGCACCATCGCTAGCTCCGGCGCCACCTGTAAAGGGAAATTTTTGGATTTCTGAGTGCTGATTCATAGGTTGAGTTCACCTTTTCCATCGTCACCCTTTTCTCCTTTCCTTAGTTGTTTCTCTTTTCCTCCTCTTGCTATTTTTCTACCTGCACTTCCAGCTTCACCTGCTTCACCTCTACTTCCGCCTTTGCCACCACGACCGACGTCGCTACCTTCTCCATCAGTACCAGCTCCATCTTTGACACCATCGCCGTCACCGCCGTCTTCGCCCTCTGCTTCATTTCCTTTGCTACCTCTGCCACCGCTGCTTCCATCTTCTCCATCTAACAAGCCTTTTCCGCCTTTTCCTCCACGTCTGCCTCCTTTCCCACGAGCTTTTCCTTTTCCTTTTCCTTTCTCTTTCACATTTTCACTGCTAATGGGCTCTCCGAATGTGTAGTCAATACCCTGCAAATGCCGAATTTGAGTCTCACTTTTCAAATAAATGGAATGCACCTACCCTATTTTCGATATCTCCCGAGTCATCGATGTAATCACTATCTACACCACCTTCAATTCCTGCGATGCCGTGACTGCTTCGTCCTCCGCTTTTTCCCTTTCGTCTGCCCTTCTTTCCTGCTCCTGATTTTCCTTCATCTCCTTCACTATAGTCGACATCTTCGCCACCTCCACTTCTGCCATCCTTCCCTCGAGATGGTTTTCGACCTGCACCTTCGGGGTTTGCCTCACCCGATCCTAATATTGAGCTGCCAGTTCCTGCACAATATGTTGGTTGAATAATATTATTAGAAGATTTTTGCTGATCTGCATTTGTTCACCTTCTTTTCCACGTTTTGCGCCTCCAGTTCCATCCTCAACTGTACCCTTGCCATCTCCCACTCCTCCTGACTCCGACCCATGGAGGTTAGCCTAAATTAACTTGAGTGTATTCTCAAATTTGACTGCAAATTCTAGAGTTATTGCCACTAACCTGTACATTTGTTAGGTTACTGTCGGATTCCCTGTAGTTTCCAGTGTGGACGGTTATGTTGATCTGACCCGAACCTGGTCCACTTCCTTCTCTTTGGAAAACGTTATTGTTGTTTCCGCTGGCATTCACATTAATGTTGATGTCCTGTGGATTTGGTTGGGTAGCTGAACATAAAAGATACAGTGAGCATTTGCGTCCAAGTCTAACTTTATGTTACCTTTATCAGCAACCGCTCCGGGAACAGATGTCTCTGCTATTCGCTGTCGGCTTTGGACATTGTTAATGTTACCCCAAACACTTCTTGCCCATGTGGTCCAACTACAAGTCAGAGTTATAGTCTCTGAGATAAATTACTGGAGAACAGAGCACTCACGTAGCACTCGTCCAGCTACTCCAACTGATTGCTTTCCACTCATCGCTCTGAAAGGCAATTTATGCTTCTTTGATTTCAAACAATGGATGTTATGAGTATCACGATATTATGAGTATCAATCTGCCGGGGACGAGGAACAGCCTGCTACCGTTTTTGGCAGAAATTCCTACGAGAACAGGTCCCTATAGTCTTTTCAAGTAGAAAGTTGAGTTTTGACCTGTGTACAGCTAAACTTGTAATGGTCACCTTCAACCTCGTAGATGACTTATTTTCTGAACATTTGTGTTATGTTTTCTCACTCTAACTCATTATTTTTGCATGAGCTATTCATTATTCAAAAAATATCAACAACTCGAAGAATTGACAACTCGCAAAATTTGATTGCAAAATTTTTTACCAGCAATTATTACCAGTGAAATTAAAAAAACATCCAAATAAACTGCTGATCACGAAAACATTGCAATTTTGCAAAAAGTGAAAATGAAAAAAATTTCGTCTACAATAGTCCAAATTTCGAACTCCCAACGGATTTTGCGATGGTTTGCACCAACAGCTCAGTCGTTGTAGTACTAAACCCATATCGCTCAGGATTCTTCAAGTTTATGGGGACCAGTTTTAGCTCAGAAAGATGCTTTTGAAAACAAGTGATGTACCTCTGGATCCTTATCTACGGCTTCGTATGAAGTGCAACGTGGCCGGCAAATGGTCACACGGTAACCATCGCTGAAATAAAATTGTAAAGTAAGAGAGTGAAGAAATTGTTACAAAAAACCCACAGTCGTCGTTCGATCCCTTTGACCAAAAGAGTCGGTGGCGCTTTGTTTTTGAGAAGGTAAAGCCGCAGACGATAGCCCGAAATTCCATCGATTTGTTCCGGAATCTCAGCGGCGCTCTGAAAACTTCAGAATCCATGAAGAGAATCAAAATATTGATTACACTTTGACAAACCTTCAAAACTGTGTACGGTGGGTCGTCGCCCGTTACTGAGGGCTGTTTGGGATGGGTAGATCCATCCGGTAACTCGTAGATAAAGCAGTCGTTACCAACATGTGTGGGTATGGTATGTGGTGGGCGTGGGTTGAATAGATTACAGCAAGTGTGCTCAACTCTGAAATTTGTGGAAATTTGAGGAAGAAATGAGCTGTTATTGTTTCTTGAAAAAGTAGAATGACCACTTAGATTCTCCGTTTTTATCCTGAAAAAAAAAAGAAGAACATTTCCACCCCTATTTTCCTCCAATCCACATGAGCTTGAGAGTGATGAGTATGGCTAAAAATGTTATTTGCAAGATGAAAGAAACATTCGAATTATTTCTGATTCATTTCAATTTTATTTCCTATTCACCGAAACTTATCGATGTTACATGTATTCCCAAAAAAATTGTGGAAGTTGATTATAAAAAAGAGCAAACAAGAATTACAATACATTTGGTTTATTTATCCTCCTACACCTGCATATCTACACTTTGCAAACTTTTTTCGTGATGGGACCTCAAACCAAAAAAATGCAAACTGAATCCTTAGTTTCCCTCTTTTCTTCTGGGAATTTACGTTCCTATACCCTGACATAGATCTTCCAATCATTCCTCCCATTTCAAGAAGATTGGTCCCTATAAAACCGTTTTCTTCTCGCTATTGACACATTTACGTAGAGAATGTTTTGTCGCTTCGACGTCCTTGGCCCAACAAATGAGGTTGAGATTGGCAAAATATCTATGTAAATGAGGGAGGCTAGTGTAAGATATGTATGTACGAAAATATGTGAGAGAATAATTTGAGCATGAGCTACATACAGATGGCCAATTTTCAAAAATTTTCTGAACACTAATTTTTCACAAAAAAATGTTTAAATTCGAACCCCATTTTCCTAAAACCAGATTTAGTTTCTATTTGCATTTCTTATGCATCATTTCACCTACTATCTCTTCAAACAGAAACTCGTTTCATTTGCTTTGACCCCGTTTTTTTTCGCTCATCGCATTCGACATCGACGTAACAGTTAATGAAATCGTTTTGTAGCACACAATTCTTTGTTCTACGCTGCGCTTCTTAAAAGATTTATTTTCCGATTTTCACTTTGCGTGTGTGCGTCTGCGGACTTCCAGCGAAAAGATATCCGTATCGGATCTGCCCCAAGAGATCTGGTTTAGAAGAGACATGAAGTTCAAGAGGGTTAGGATCAAGTGGTTGGTGGAAAAGTTGTAATCTGTAACAAAGTTCATCTATCAGCCAATAAATGGCCCCTAAAACTCAGAACAAAATAAAATTCACAAAAAAAATAAAAATCCTACTACAACATTTTGGCATATTTTATGGCAAAGATCGACTCTCCACATGAAATCAAATTTTCAAAAACAAATTTGGTCACCAACCGTCTCTGCTCGTATCCTGCAGCATCTTTTTTCTAATTTGCACCTAATAGGAAGAAAAAACCCCATCTCGAGCTCGCTAATTCGATTTCGCTATCTGTCCAAACTCGAAACTAGCTACCAGTAGCGAGAGAACTCGTCCGAATGAGAACATTCATCACTTTCTAACAACGACAAAAGAAATTAGGTTATCGCATCTCTCACTAATGAACTGACATCTGGATGTTTCTGTGCGGAGTAAAGACCTTCGCAAAAAACATTAAACATTCCGCCAATCATGCTAAGTGCATTCAGCTGCAAGAAAAAATTGACGTAAACAATTTTTTCTCAAAAGAAAAAAGAGAAAATCAAATCAACTAACGGTGATGTAGCTGACGTCTGCACGACATGAGCGACAAAATTCATCAATCCACCGCACTGAGGCTGGAACTCGTCGTAGTCGCAACGCTGCGAAGAATTATAATTAAATACAGTATACCGTATTTGTCATATTTTATTATTTCTGCCTTATTTATTCGGCCACTGTAAAGGTTTTTTTGTTGCTTCTTACTCCTCCAATAAATTCCTTTAAAATGGAAGAAGTAAGATTCGATATGTTAGTGAAAGTTTCGAACAGATTCAAGAGACTATTTTCTTGGATAAGCGCTCAAAACTGGGGTTTTCTAAAATCATTTAAAAAATTGTCATAATGCCACAAAAAACCATAATAAATTACACTATTCGTTGTGGAAGGCAATACAGCAAAGAGTTCAAAATTTTCAAGTTTCATAGTATAGGAAAAATTTATTATTTTCATTCAGATATCATCAACAAGTTTCTCCAAAAATTGTTTTCGAAAACACAATTAAAAGATTTATAAGTTTCAAAACTCCACCTCGCAAAGTGATCGCTTTGCTCCATCGGCGAGTAGTCCAAATGTTACGCGTTGGTGCAAAATTCAAAGAAAATAGAGGAAACTTGAATCAAGTAAAAATGACCGTTCTAAAAATGGTCGCCAAAGGTTAACTTGTGCGTTTCATAGTTTCTGTGAATTTATTTGCTATACCATGAATTCTCTAATATCACTAGTTGTAAAATCTTTCAAAATGCTATAAAAAACTATAAAAACTATACTATAAAAATATATCGTAAAATGAATTCGGCAAAGAGAACAAATAATGCCAATTCTTTGCTGGGCACCTATTTCTAGAGCATGTAGCAAAAGGCAATCTACTTGGTCTAGAATTTTGGAATCAAGATGCTTTGCTACCTCAGCCAGCAAATTATTGAACACAATAAATTGACTATTTACAGAATTGAGACAGCATTTTCTACAAACATAAGTGTAAGTACTCATTACAGGTCAAGGAATTGGAATTTTGCAATTGTTATCAAAGTGGTTATGGTGTTGCTTTTCTATGAAAGAATTTGTATCTAGCTTTTTTGTACTCGCTTTGTGATTTTTGGGGCATGAGTTCGACAGACAAATGGAAGAAAACGTAAAACTTTAGCTATTTTGCTATCAACCAAAGAAAACAACGATTAACACAACATCATCAATCGTTTCAGTCGTTGCTCATAAAATTTGCCAGTGGTTTTTTGACAGATACACAACACATGAGCTTGTATGCATGACAAAGTCAAAATAAGAAAGAAAACGAACCAGTCGCTGGTAACCGCACATGTCCAGTCGCTGGCAGTGCATTCGTATGGTATCGTTACCGAAGCTCTGCACGACCAGCACCTGGTCGTTCTGACAGCGGTAGTTCAGTGCCAGCGCTGCCGGCACGAGCACCAGCAGCCACCACATTGCTTGAAGACTGAAATCTTGCAATTATACGTAAAGAATTTTAAATATTGACGGCGGAACACGATATTCCATTTACCAGGTTAAAAAATGGTATGAAGGAGAAGGAAACTTGACAGAGACCAAAATGTATGCAACATTCCATGTAAGGAGTTACGTGTAGTCTTTCACATAATCGTGAACTAACAAAAAAAAAGGAGAACAAGGACGTCATGCATGAACAAAGAAAAGCTTCAAAAAGGTGGTGCCGTAGTGATCATAAAAGTCCATTGTAATGAGAATTGGCAAAGATCATTTTCAGAGACCTCAGAGAAAAAACATTCAGGAAAGATTTGAATATTAACAATTTATTACATCAAATTTAGTAATACTCCCAGAATCGCCTCTTCAGCTAAAAAGTGCCAAGGTATAATATAATATTTTGATATCATTGTTTGCTTTTGTGGTTCAGCTCGAAATGGCGACTTCAAAAATCATGCATAGTAATAGGGACGCAGCTGCAGAAAAAACATGAAAGACTTCCCATTTTATCAAAAAATTTGCCAGATTATCTCAGTTTCAAAATCTGTAACTTCAGCGGAAGAAAATGGATATTGTTCAAAAATAAAAAATGATTTTGACTTGTGAAGGTAATTTTGCACACAGCAGAAATTCAGAAGCAATAACCTGTTGAGATGGAAGAGCTTGCAAAGTGGAACAAAAGTAACTTTTGTTTGATCACCACATATAAAAAACAGCAAACTACTTATTTTGGCAGGTCTTCCTAAGTCGGATAAAGTAAAAATTGAGTTCCACTAGTCAAGTCTTCCGTAGTTCCGTTTGTAGAAGATAAAGCTTGAGAATGGTAATATTAAAAATGTAACATTGAAAATGCATTTTTGATAAAAACAATAATAGGGCTAAAACAGGAACATCGCGTATCGTAGCTAATATGCCCGTAGAGTAGGCAGATTTGATCAGCAAATGCGAAAACGGGTCAATTATCCTCTTCGAATTTCGGTCGAGTAGCTAAAACATTTTTAAAAATAGGGTTTTGGTTGACACAAATTGTAACATCCTTTCGTAAAGGCATGAATGAAGATGGGCTTCCTTTTGTCGCCCTTTTCTTGACTGAAAGGGTGAGAGTGAAGGTTTTTAGTTTCAAATCTTAATTCTGTCCTTGTGAACGAAAGCAAAAGTGAACAAATGCATACAGAAAAAGCTGTCGTTGCTTAAATATGGGTCAGCGTCGATGAATGCGAATTTTCGATAGCCTCACACTGAATGTGACCAAACATGGGAAATCTCAAACCTTTGGAGCTTCTTTTCCTCCCAAAATCAGAGCATGAACTATTTACTGATTGTGAGTAAATTTTATAATATTTTCAGGTAGGTCGAAGAAATTAATCGAGACACTGAAGAACAAGGAAGGAAGGTGTTAAAGTTCCAAATGAAAATTTCTCGAAGTTCTAAAACACTCCCAAATAATTTACAGCCAACTCATATACTATGAATTTGTAAAAGCAAAGAAAAAGCAAACAGATATTGATGACGTTTTGAAACTTATGATTCAACGAAGATAAAAATCAAGAACGTTATACATTGAAGATCCAACGTAGCAAAGACACTGAGATAAAAAATTTTGTTACTTATCAAAAGTTCGAAGTTTTTCGGTTAATGCATGAGAATTTTCCTCTAAAACGAGATATCAGCTGGAAAAACCCGCAGCTAAATATCTCGACATGTTTAGCCACGCCCCCAGAATCGCCGAAATCGAATTATATGGTCCAAATCCTCTCTGAAGTGAAAAATCGCCAACGACCTTAACATCGAAAGTGAACTCACTAAAAAACTAGCCCTGCAAAGAATCGAGAGGTGATTTTTCCGGAAATTCGAGCGCACCGTCAATTAGCCGTCTGTCTTCTGTCCATATAAAGAAGCTGTACATGAGGCGCCGAGCGCAAATTGACTCGACGTTTCATTTTTTCCCGACGGGACGACGACCGGAGACGTTGCGTTCGAGGATCATTAAGGTCAATGCGACACTCGGGCGCCTTCGGACTTGGCAACCGAACCGCTCTGACCGCGGATGATCTAACTGCGTGAAGTTTATGGTTTGCTAGTTAGCATCGAGACGCAAGGATCGCTTAGCCCATCTTGGAGATTAAGACCCAAAGTGAATGGAAGAAGGAAGTCCAGAAAATCAACACTATACAAAAATGAACGAAAATCTAAGTGAGATGCAAACGCCTCATTGCACCAATTGAAAAAGCACCTCAAGTTTCGAAGGACTACTCATTTGGTTACTCAATTTTTGCATGAACAGTGACTTTAAGGCCTAAGCTAAGCCGTTCTTCTAAGGATAGCTCATATGATTTGCGACTACCGCGAAATACTGAACAACATAGTACTTGTCGCATTCGCGTATACTGCTTGACCTGCTAGACACTACCGTACTGGAAGAGACTTTGAAATTGCATTCCTAGGTCACGAAAGAATAATATAGGCTGCCATTTGGGCAACGGTTTAGTTAGGACTTTCCAATCATTCGCAAAAAAATGAAGTTTCACAATTTTCTAAGGTTATGTCATTTAAAAAAAACACACCCAAATTTTCGTAAAGTGCACTGACTTTGGGTCTTTAAAACTTCCTATCTCAGATTGGCATAAGATTTTCACATAGGAATCATGTAAAAAAGAACTAGTGAGTTGATTTAGAGACAAATAAATTTCTTGGGAAAATACGGAAGATTTGTTAGTTTTATTGGATTTTAGGACACGCGGCCATTCCAAACACCGATTTTCCTCTTTATGGCGAAGCTAGAAATTTTTGAATCTGTAAGAGCTCAATTCTTTTTCGAAAAATTATGAGAGGGAAAACGGAAGTGTTTGCAGGAAGGAATAAATGAAAGATTTGCTTGAAAATTGGGCGGATAACAAAGAATTTCCTTACTTTGGCTAGTTTAGGGAAGGATACTTAGTCGGACTGGGGTTTTTATGTGAATTTCTACTTATAGAACGTAAAAGGCTGAGTCTTCCGAATCTGCTTTCGTTATCTGCGAAGCGCTTTTAGAAGTTCAAGGGTTTAGCTAAGAAAACAGGTCTATGTATCTTTCCGGCTAAAAAAAGTAATGACCTGCAGATTGTTAGGATGAAGGTATTAATCGCATAAAGTGCCCTGGCAGTAATCATGGCCTCAACCGAGCTCACAGGCTACAATTCTGAATGTTCTGATTGTAGCCACGGATTCAAATTTTCGCTTTGAAAAATTTCCGTAATCCCCGCTTCCAAAAATCTCGTACAAGTGCTTTGCAGATACCCAAAGCAAATTTGGAATCAGCGTTCCATGCTCTATAAGAAAGTGTACTTTTCGTATGGAAAAGCCACTTCGACTAAGTATCCTTCCCTTGTCAGAAGTACTGCGGAAAAATGTTGATTGGGTAGATGAGTGATGATTGACTGAAAGGGAATTACGACTTTTCATTGGCTAAGGGCGTTATCGGACTAATTCTAAGGATGCACGATTCTTTTACACCCTAACGGAGAAATAAATTTTGTTTCGCAAAGGGAAAAGTAAAAACAAGCCGAAGAGATGAGGATTGTATTCCAAGCGAATTATGATAATGTTGCAATACACAAGGTTCAAGATTTCTTCAGAAAAAAATCACATGAAGAGCTCAACGATCAGTGGTGGGGAAAAAAGAAGGAAATGATGCGTAGTAAATTCTGCAAATAAAGAATCTCCGAACCAAACGAAGGAAAGCGAAACTTAATGAGTATCGGGCCGGGATGGTCCAGTCCTCAAGAAGTTCGTAACGACTCGACGATCGGCGCGTATCGTTACCGGAAGACGAGCGTGTCGCGCTGACTAGGGTCGTATTTTAGGTGGGGGCGATGATTATATGGACAGTCGGACAGCGTGTTGATGTTTGAATGTGCTGATGTTGCTGCTGGTCCGATGGGGGCTGGCCTAGATCGGATCGGAAAGGCGAAAGGGGGGGGGGGTTGGCGCAGGTGGTGGAAATGTTTGGCGCTCGCTTTCTCTCGCCGCGCTCTATCAGTTCAGATTATATCAAGAGATTTATCAAATTCTTGTCATTGCAATGACTTTTACCTTCTTCTGATTAGACGAAGAAACGGGAAGGTGGAAGAGGGGGGGGGGCAGTACAGTAGGCTTGGAAAAGCAGCTAGGAGTATAGAATGATGAAAAGGAGGAGTAGAAAAGAGCATTCTAGAATAGGAACTGAGCGATCGAAGGATGATCATCCTACTCTAAAACCATGAATAGTTCAACGAGCACACAAATCTCCGGATTACTGCGTGAATTACGAGGTTTGGCGGCCATCTTAGCCTATTCAAGCGGCTGTGTCGTTCCTCGAAATGACCTCATAGTCTGCAAACGCAGACAATACACCCGCGAAACCTAGCCGACCCGCCCCCACCGCCCTCACCCTCCTTCCTTCCCTCTGAACGGCTTAACCCAGATACATAGAGTCAGGGAAAAATTCGAAAATCCCGGTCACCGTTGACATTTTGAATAGACACGTAGTACACGCACTAAATAACATGAAATAACGTCGCTGAACGGTCGTTGTTTGATGTGTTGTCCGGCGAAAAAAAAGCGCGCATCACTTTGACGGGGAACGGGGTTGCGCCCGGGGGTGCAACGTCATCATTAGAGGACACACCTCTTTTATTCGGGCGACAAAAGACTCTGAGAGCGGATGGGCGTGGGGATGTGAGAACTAATGATCCAGTTAACCTAGAAAATACCGCTCGCTCGTTAACACAACGCCGATAAACTAGCGGAACTCGAAAGGGAGTAGCGCCATTTCTCTTTGTTTCAGAACGGTACCAGGTGGATTAGTGCATGGTTAGAGCGACTCATCTCTGAGTCTAGGAACACTGCGCATACAATGTTAATCCACAAGGCATAATCAAGATTTACTGTGCAAAGATTTGATGAGCTTATGAGCCAGACTTTTGTTGCACTGGATCACAAATGTATTTACCTCGAATAGGCAAAAAAATTCGCAAAATTGTAACTGCTAATTCCCACCTCTGACCACCTTTTTGTCATGGCTGGGTCATATTGGCTTGCCTATACTTATCAAACATGCCCTTTTCCCCTGGTCATGTCCTCTCAAAAAATAAGCAAATAGTAGGC